AGGAAATCAGTATATCAAAGAGATATCTGCATTCTCATGTTTACTGAGCACTATTTATAATATCCAAGATACAAAATTAACTTAAGTGTTAATCAATTTAGGTTGATGGAGTGGATAAAGAAAATGTGGTAAATACACACAAAGCAATTTCAAAACTGCAGATGTTGGTGTGGATGTGGAGAGAAGGGAACCATTTTTCACTGCTGGTAGGACTGCAAACTAATACAACCTTTTTGGAAGGAAGTATAGAGAACCCTCAAACAACTCAAACTAGATCTCCCATTTGATCCTGTAGTCCCATTACTGGGCATCTACCCAGAAGGAAAAAAATCCTTTTACCATACAGACAGTGGCACTAGATTGTTTTATCGCAGCTCAATTTACGATTGTCAAAATGTGGAAATAGCCTAAATGCCCACCAACCTAGGAATGGATTAACAAGCTGTGGTGTATATATATATATATACCATGGAATACTATTCAGCCACTAAAAAGGATGGAGACTTTACATCTTTTGTATTAACCTGGATGGAAGTGGAACACATTATTCTTAGTAAAGCATCATAAGAACAGAGAAGCAAGAATCCTATGTACTCAATTCTGATTTGAGGACAATTAATGACCTAGAACACAGTAAGGGGTAGGGGAAGGGATAGGGGAAGGGAGAGTAGAGAGAGGGAAGGAGGGAGGGGGTGGGGGGGTCATGGTATGTGGCGCACATTTTAGGGGTGGGACACAATTATAAGAGGGTCTTTATCTAACAAATGCAATCAATGTAACCTGTTCTTTGTACGCTCAATGAATCTCCAATAAAAAAAAAATACACACAATGCAATATTATTCAGTCATAAAAAAGAATGAATTCCTGTCAGTTACAGCAACACTGATGGAACTAAAGTTTCCTTTGGTGAAATAAAGCAGGCATGGAAAGAGAAAAACGTTCTCTCCCTCATATTTGGGAGGAAAAAAATGTGGATCCCATAGAGGTAAAGAGTAAAATAATGGTTACCACAGAGTAGGCAAGAGTGAGATTCCATCTCTATTGAAAACAGAAAAATTAGCCAGGCATTGTGACTCATTCCTATAGTCCCAACTACTCAGAAGGTTCAAGTAGGAAGATCGCTTGAGCCCAGGAGTTTGAGGTTACAGTGAACTATAGTGACACCAATGCATTTTACCCAGGGAGACAAAGTGAGACTCTTGTCTTGATGCAAAAAAAAAAAAAAAAAAAATTACAAACTTTTGTTCATCTAGCCAGGCTCAGGGCTCACACCTGTAATTCTTAGCACTTTGGGAGGTCAAGGCTAGTGGACTGCTTGAGTTCAGGAGTTCGAGACCAGCCTGAGCAAGAGTAAGACCCTGTCTCTATTAAAAATAGAAAAACTAGATGGGAGTATAGTGGTGGGCACCTGTAGTCCCAGCTACTTTGGAGACTAAGGCAAGCAGATCACTTGAACCCAGGAGTTTGAGGTTGCTGTGTATGATGCCACAGCACTGTAGCCTGGGCAACAGAGTGAGACTTTGTCTCAAAAAAAAAAAAAAGAACTTTTGGTCATCAAAATCCATCATGAATATGAAAAAGCAAGCCACAGAAGATTTTTGTATTTACATATAATCTACAAAGAACTTTTGTCTGGACATATAAAGAATTTTAACAAAACAACAAAACATACAACCCAATGTACATATAGCCAAAAGACTTGAATAATCACTTCCAAAAGAGGATATCAAAGAGACCAACCAACATATGAAAAGGTTCTCAATATCAGTAGTTGCTTGAGAGATGCAAATTAAAACCATAATGAGATACGTAGTACCATTACATACTCACCAGAATTGCTAAAATTAAAAAGACTGACCCTCAGTGTTTGTGACAATGTAGAGTAAATAGAAATCTCTTACATTAATGGAGGAGTGAACACTGGTACAAGCACTTTAGAAAAGTGTTTAGAGGCATCTATCAACACTAATGCTAAACATACTTTTATATTCTATGGCCCAGCAATCCAATCCCTGGGTATATGCCCAAAAGAAATGAGTGCTTGTGTCCACCAAAAGATTAAAAAGGATGCTCATAGAAGCTTTATCTTCTATGATACAAAAAGTACAAAAAGTGAAGAAATTATGGTTAAATGGAGTAACTAATAACAATGAAAAAGACTGAACTACTGATATATATATATATATATAAAATTAATGAATCTCAAAGGCATAATATTGAATGAAATAAGTTAGGCACAAAAGAACACATGTTGTATAATTCCATATACATGAATTTTAAATCAGACAAAACAAATCTATGGTGACAGAAGTGAGAATGGTGGAAATTCTCAGAGGATGTACTGATTGAGAGGGTGTCACATAAGACATTGGAAAAGGTCTGCACTGTAATATGGGTAGTGCTCTATATAAGATTTCTGTATTTTCCTCTGTGTAAGTTATTTTCTTCAATTTAAAATAAATGCTAAAAACCTAGTGCAGTAATGACATAGTATTACATAAAGGGACCAGTGGAGCACAATACACAATCCAGAAATATAATCATGTAGAAAGTGATTGTGGTTGATAATAAAATTGATATTTTTTTCCTTTTTGCCTCTGACTGTTGCCATGTGGATGTGATTCTTGGAAATGTAGCCATCTTGAGATGCCAAGTGAACCAGCCTAAACAGATAAGCAAGCAGGCTAAGAATGGCAGCGAGAAGAATGGAAAGAACCCGAGTCCCTTGAAGACATTAATGCACTTCAGATAGAATTAACCATCTCTGGAAAGATTTATAAGTTTCGTGTTATTTGAGATTAAAAAAAAAAAAAGTATGGGGGAGGGGAAAGATGGCCGACTAGAGCCAGCCTCCAACAGAAGCTCCCATCCAGAAGGAAGGATAATGTCCAGAAAGTACCCAATTAAGCTGAAGACTGGGAGCTGAGCTGAGAGAGAAGAGCGATAACTGCAGGTCACCTCTGCTGAGGCAAGCTGCAACTCCAAGAAAGCAAACTTCAGGTATATATCCAAAGGACCAAAAATCATTTAGCAATAAAGATATTTGCACCAGATTGTTCACTGCAGCCCAATTCATAATTGCCAAGTCATGGAAGAAGCCCAAGTGCCCATCGACCCATGAATGGGTTAATAAATTGTGGTATATATGTGTACCATGGAATACCAGGCAGCATTAAAAAAAATGGAGAACTTTATCTCTTTTATGTTTACATGGATGGAGCTAGAAAATATTCTTCTCAGTAAAGTATCTCAGGAATGGGAAAAAAATATCCAATGTACTCAGTACTACTGTGAAACCAATTTATAATCACTTACACTTGCATATGAAAAATGAAACACATGGATGGAGCTGGAAAATGTTCTTCTTAGCAAAGTATCACAGGAATGGAAGAAAAAGTATCCAATGTACACACACCTATTATGAAACTAA